AACGCAAACAGTTGTGCAAGGCACGTCTGGAGGTGAGGCTGCAAAAGCTTCAGCTGGCACTGCTGCCTGCTGCTGTGGTACAGCTTGTAGCATCCATCTGCCATAAGTTCTTGAGGTATTTTGAATGGTAGCAAAAGTAGTTACAGAGCAAGGAAATATTACTGAACAGAACTGAAATGATCTAATATGTTGTTAAAGTGGGTCTGTTGTTTTCTCCCTCTTAGGAAATAGGCACCCTAGTTTGCTTTCTATGAGTGCTCTTTCCTGTAATTTTCAAGGAGCATCTTGATATTGTGCGTGGATTTTTGATGAGCCACTCAACCAAAATGCTGAAGAAATGAAAACCAGAGKTTTTGGTAGCCTTGCAGTTGGTAATGGAGGTATTACAGAGCCTTCCTCCCTCAAGGCGGCTTCATTTCAGATCTGTACGGTTGCTGCCGACGAGCAAGCACTGTTGCCGCTCTGTGTCTGGTTGTCTATGAGACTAATTTAGCGGAGGTCTGGGTGGTGGTGGAGCATCTGCAGCGCCGCAATTGGCATCCTTGATTGATTACCTTGTTGATGGTCTTAGTGGGGAGACTGGGGATTGATTGGGCTTGGGGATTGACTTACCTGCTTAACTCTGCCATTAGACTTCCAGCAAGGAGTACGTCATCTGGAAATTTATCTTGGGATCTCCATATGGATTTAGGACGTGTGAAGGAAGTATTTTGCTTGTGCCATGATCACCACCTGTGCTGCTGTTCTGTGGCCTGATAGCAGCTCAGCTTCCAGAGGCATCAGTATGATAATTTCTAGAAGCACAAAATTCACACTGACAAATGCTTCGTATCTGTGTTTAATGTAATGTTTAATGTATTGCCGTTCACCAGAGCAAGAACTGTTTTTCTTTAAATAGTAGATTACCCCATGACTGCCAGGCTGGTCTGAGTCTTCATCACAACATATTGCTTATTATTAGGGCATATGCACTCTAGTTTCCATCTGCTTTTGAATTTGTTGCAATTATCTTTCTGTGCTTAGATTTTCTTCATTAGAACTAGATAACCCCCTAGATAGATCAGGCCCTTTGGTGCTCCAGCCATCCTCTGTCCCTGCAGATAATTTCTGAAATGCTTTGCTGCCTCCCCTTGCTTTTCTTTTGTTCACTCCCTTTCTGTGCTGTTTTTATTTGTTTACTGCTCCACTACTCTAAGGATGTGAATGGGTGTTTCTCTRCTGTGCTAAAATCTGTGCTGAGGTGGCTGTTGGCCCAAGGAGAGCATCAGGACCTCTCAAACCGTTGCATTATTAAGCTTGCCTCTTCTTTCCCCTTCCCTAATCACAGAACCCCTTTTTAATCCACACCAGCATGCTGACTATTGCTTTTGTATGGCTGGCAGCAAAAAATCTTGAAATATGCAGTGGATAAAGCTTTGCAAGAAAGTGCTTGGCAGCATTTGCATGACCCTCTCATCATTCTCTGCTTGTGCTGCTTAGATTCAATGTAAGTGCCCCATAGGGTATCAGGAGTTCAAGGGAATTCCCCAGCCTAAAATTCCTTTGTTATAGCACTGTAATAAAACTACTTGGCTGGTAGGTATGTTTTGTTTCACAGTGGGTTAATCTCCAAAACTAGTAGGAAAAGAGATTTCTTGATATTCTTACTCCTGGAATGAAGATATGTGGGCACTAAAACTTCAGTTTTTCCTGTTGGCCGCAATGAAGGGACTTTTTCTTCTGGATGATATATTTGAAATCTGAGGTATAGGCTATAGCTGTCATTGTGCATTTCCCCTGTTCCCTATACAGCTGTAAAGGCTATTTAGTTACCTGGGAATTTAGGGGAAAGTTTATCTCAAATTAGGTATTTAGCCTGGTAATTTGGGAAAGTATTTGAAAAAAATAAAGCAAACTAATGGCAATGCTATTTGAATAAAACATTTAATTTCCAAGCATTGATTGCATTCACTCAATATTGTTACTAAGAAACCGCTAATTACTCTGTATCATGTTAGTGAGGCCCCTGACAAATCCATGCAAATCATGTGATTTATAATTCATAAATCCCTCATCCCCRGAGAAATGTTGCTCTTGCACTTACACTAATTGACTACTTATGTTCATTGATCCAGTCCATATAGCACCTTTAGTCCATATGGCAACTTTTATCGTAGGGCCAGAAACTTGGGCTGCCGGGCGAGCCCGCGGCCCCATCCCGCCGGGAAGGGCCCTTCCGGGGCGCTTTCCTCACCGTCTGTCCACCCTTCCGTCCTCGCGCGGTGGCGGGCGGAACAAGCAGCGCTCTGTCTGTCTGCCCCTGCCTGGAGAGGCAGGAAGTGTGCGTGACCAGCACTAGCTCTTGCACATAAGCTGCTTGTTCTGGAATAGCTACGTGGCAAACTGGCTGCTTACACTGTATTGTCGTGTAATACATTGTGTGTTGATGCCTGGTGTCTGCTCTTGGCAATGGCTCCCTTCGAAGTATTGCCCAGTAGATATTGACTTTTTGCCCCATGCAGTTGTTTGCCAGCATGTTTCCCATGTGTAGGCAGTGGATTTCCTCCCCCTCACCATAAGTGGTTGCCCATAGTTATAAATCCTCCAATATGTTGTTGCTTGTGAATAATCAGGGCCCTGGTGAAAGACACAGAATCGTTGCAAATTCCATAGGCTGCTTGAGAAATCAGGCCAGGGGCTAAAGATATATTATGTTGCAGGGTAATACTTTGTAGCTGATTATTGTTAGCTATTTTTGCAATAATTTTAGCATAGTTTTGTAATGTAGTATAATTTTAATTATTATCAGAGAATGGCATCGCTTAATTCTCTCAAACCTGTACAAAGATAGATGAACGACAAATTAATAATTTACCATCTTTGCATAATACTGTAGCACAGAGAACCAGGAGGATTGATGGCAGAAGAGGTTAACAAATTTTAGCCGCTTCCATTAGCTTTTCATTGTCATATGTTTGTGGTGCTGACTGAAATAAGCTTTGTAGGAGATCTCAGTCTAGGGAACTAATTACTTGTGCCGATTGCCATGCTGATGAATAGACCCTCATTGTATCATTCCCCTGAAGACGAGGAGCAGTCTGTGATTCACGACTGCAGCCTGGCTGATATTTGATAATAATTTTAACAGATAAATGTAGGAAGGCAGAATGATGAAGTGCCTATCCGCGCTCCCCGACTATCAAAGGCATGCACGTAGCCAGCTGTGTTCAGCCTTTTTTCTATAATCGCTAATGGAGAATTTTAAGTTATTAATCCAGCTTGGAATAAACCCATATCTTCCTGTGTTTGGTAGTGCTTTATTTATTGGCATGATTACTCCCAAATCACTGGATTTTATAATCCAGGCATTCAAAATTTAGCATGATTGTAGCACACCAAGTATAAAAAAGCAGATGTTTGGTAATCTCTCTGAAATATGTATTCCAGCACTTTTCTGTGAGTGAAAAGTCAGGAAAAATGAGGAAATAAGCAAAATGAGCCCTTTCCTTGGTATGTATAAAAAAAAAATCCAAACAAAAAAACACAGAAGAGTAATGAAGGTGAACATGCAAAGATATTCTCCACTTGTATAGGATTATTTTCAGTCACAATTAGTGATTTTTACAAATCATGTTTGAGAGCAGGGCTGTGCAAATGATTGTGACTTTTTTTCCACCGTGTTTGTTGGAAAAGCTTGATTTGCCTTAAATAAAACTCATTTGTGGCTTCAGACCTCAAAAAGGAAGAATATAGATATCAAGTATTCTTAACATTGTGATCTGTAAATTAGTCATGGCTATTCATTTGTCAGTGTTGACAGGTATGCTTTTTATTAGCTCTGCACCAGAAATAGGAATATARGTGCTTTTTCATGTATTGTTTAGATACTAGTTATTTTAAATCGAAATCACTGTTTTATCATTTGAGCATAGAAGTTTTCAGGCTGTGAGCCTATCATGATTATTCTACGCRTTAGACATTTTACATTTTATTTATTTTGCTTTACCTGAAATTGGTTCTTTTCTATGGTCTCTGGGCTAAAATATTGTTTTACAATGGCATTCATTCATGATCATCTAACAAGATAGTAACTGGCACTTACATATGACCATATTAAGAAGATCTACGTATACGTGGAGCATACAGTGGAAAATAATGAATTTGTTATAACTCTTTCTAGATGTAATTTTTAAAAAGTATGCCTTCAATATAGCAATTATTGCACATCATAACATGTAGTTTTTAATTAAATGTAAAAACACAACTACATAAAACAGAAATCCAATCTGATTTGCTTGAAAATAGATTGCTATTTCACTCTCCTGGAATGGTTTATTTAAAAACAGTAAATGGAAAAGAAATGCATTTTCTTGTGTTGTTCTAAGCCTCAGGGGCTAAATGTAATGAATATTTTAAGAGATTATTTTAATTAAATTCCTGCACATCTAAACAGAGTAATATTTTATTATCACATACATAACCATGTAACTGAGGTATTCATTAAAGTTAACACTTTCTGGACCAAGAATTCATGGTATGATTTACTGACCTTGTGCAAAAAGGCACAAATTAGGAAGAAAAATGAAGGGGGACAGACTTTGATTAATATAGGTAATGCTATACCATATTTATAATAGCCTTTTCCCTATTCTGGTTTATAAATGCAGTCACTGAGAAAGGTGCCCTGCTGAGGCTGAAATGAGGCTGAAATCGGAGCACATGCCACTAGAGTGTGGGGAAACTGATCACACTGTCAGCAATTCATTTCAAAATGATGTATTTAGTGCTCATTTCACCTTCCAAGAAAAAAGGGAAAGGAGTTCCTTAGACTGGAAGGTGATATTGTTATTTTCAAGGACATACCTAAGTAAAAGATTGCAGAAAGGGGGGGAGGTTAGAAAAGGGGGAAAAAAAAGAAAAAAAAAAATGCAGAGCAAACAAGGAGAGCTTTATGCAGAAATTCAGTGCTACCATGCTGTTTGATAATTGCTAACATATGTGGCTTCTCTGTTTCATTGTAGTCGTCCTCGTGAGTTCTGGCGCCTCGACTACTGGGAAGATGACTTGCGGCGCCGGCGACGATTTGTGCGCAACCCCCTCGGATCGACACATCCTGAAGCGACACTAAAAGCAGCTGGAGAACATGGTCAGTGTGAAAACTGCTCCTTGCCAATAGCAGCAGGTTACAGTACCCGCTAGTGAGGACCAGGCCATCACTGTTGCAAAACACTGCAGAATTGTCCCAGATGCCAGAGACTTCTCATTGCTTTTCAGACGTGTCCAGCACAAAGATAAACAGACCGTTATTTATCGTTAGCAATGTTGGTATCTTTGAATCCTCTTCACYGTGTCTTAGTGGATCTGGCACGTTGTGCGCGTTTTGCATACGGTCACACACACAGTTCTCACTGCAGATACAGCTTTTGCMCTAATCTCCGAAACATACGCGTTTGTGTTCGATGCTTTAGGAACTTCAGAAGACAATATTTCTTGTTCAGAAATCCACGCCATTACTTCACATAGTCTTAGCTAAGGTTTTTCCTTTGCTTTAAAACAAAACAAAACAAAACAAAAAAAAAAAAAAAAAAAAGCTAAAGCCAAACAGCTATTCAGACCTTTGCATATGCATGTCTTCAATTTAGCTATGGGAATTTGATATGAAAAAATAGTAACAAATACCAAAACGCAACAAGCGGTAAATGGCAATAGAAATTCCTACTTTTTTTTCTTCATTTTATTATCAGGGACTGTTCAACCATGTATTTCTTTGACTGTTCTGGAGGAACATATTTACAAAACTAATACAATCAGCAGTTTGAGAAAAAGATGATAAACTAAAAGGAATAACAAAGCATAGCTAGCAGACTTTGCATTTACGTCTAGAATTTTATGCCTTTGGTATCTAATTAAGATAGATAAAGGTATCTAAAATTGATAAGGTATAAATATCATTCTTAGCTTTAATCATAAGCAAATTATTTTAAAATATAAGTTAACCCTTTACCTTGAAGGTGCACTTTAAGGAGTAGAATTATTTAAATTCTATTTTAGTTTGAATTACTGTGCATACGAATATATATATCTATAGTGTGTGTGTACATAGGTATACACACATATGCATACATACACATTATATATATAAACGTGCTATTGATGCTGATTGAAAATTAAGATTATAATACACATGTGGAATACCACTRCTGTAAAGTAAGTTTCTATCAGGCATCTTAACCTCTTGCACTCAGCCTTAAAGGGCCATTTCTGGAAGAAAATGCCTACAATATGTCAGCTGATATAATGCCAAATGTGACATCAGTCCCTTACAATAAATGACCATATGGAGCCTCGTCAATAAAGTGATCTAAAAGCAATAATGTTCCTAGAGCCGTACATCTTTGGCTATAGAAACAGGAACAAGATGTAGAATTAATTAACCCACTTTGTGCTTTAGGGCTTGTTGTGTTATGTGTTATATATTATATGTTGTTTCTGTGCAATGGACTTTAAGGGCACAAAGTGTCTTTTGTTTAGTAATCTTTGGATCAAAAAGGGATTCCTCCTGTCCCCCCTTGCAATTACAGGTAGTTTAAATAGGTCTTGCCATAATTCTATGATATTTCCAATGGAATACTTTTCATTTAATCTTTTTATTGTTTATCAACATTTAAAAAAAAAAACTTTGTTATTTTCACTGCAAAATATTTACAGCTCCTATTTCTACTTGTGTAACTAATTCTGATTTCATAAGTAAGCACATGGTAATACCATTATTCATCTTTTACATTAGTGTGATGATACCACTAATTTATGGTATATTTGAAAGGCTATCACTCATACTCAATTTGCAATTTGGCAGGAGTACGTTTTTTGTCTATACAAAAGTAAGAGCGAGTAAAAGTAGCTATCTGATAATCTGTAGCTTCTAGCTAAGCCCGGTAATTTAAATAGAGCTAATTATTTTCTGTCAGCCTTTTCTTCTGTTCAGCGTTTGACATCCTTAACAAGCTTGTATTCTATTCAATTATTCTTTTTTTAGAAGTCTGAATTTAATTGCATAATGTTGCAATTCCATTTCTATATCTATGCAGTGAACATTCTAATTTCACCTTTATTTTTTCATTTGTATGGTTTATAAAAATATGAAAAATCGCCATCTGCCCCATGCTATATGCACTGATGAGATTGCCTTGTTGCAAGACTTTTCTAATGGTGAGGTATAAAATAGGTGAAGTGAGTACAAGTTGCAGTCTATTAGAAACTAAGCATAATTTGTAGGATACCAAGGTTTTCTTTAAAAGAAAAAAAAAAAAAAAAAAAAAGAGGATACAGCTTTAGAAGGGCCAGCTTGGATCACCACTTTATTTTAACAAACTGTTTTGTTTATGAATTTTTAATATTTAGCAATTTGAGGTCAAAAAATCTAATCCTTGGAGATTTGGAGATGCAGCCTTTCAAGGACACTGYGGGTGTCCTTAGAGTTTGGAGCAGATTTGCCTGTGTGTTTTGTGCTTTATAATTTCTTCTCTATAAGCTATCAGTAGTCACTCTGTTTCAATTATTTAYACACATATCAACAGCAAATGTAATTTTGAAATAATGGATTAGAGGATTCCTATTGCCTGTTGAAGCTTTTCACAAAACAAACAAAGCCAAAACCTGGAATTGGGCACGTGGGATTTTGCCAAAAGGGGAGACAAGCGAAAATAGTGCGGAAGTAATAGAAAAGAGATATTGCAGTAAATATGCTTGAAAACATAGATTTTAGCACTTTTCGTTATTAAGATACACCTTATCAACTGCTTGGTATCTTTCAAATAAAATCCGCTGTAGTCCCCTCTGCAAAGCACRCACAGGCCAGGCATGATCACAATTTGAAGCTGTGTGTGTGATCCAGAAACAGGCAGAAATCTAGACATAGTTGAGCAAACCCTATAGAGAACAGCAGCAGCAGCAAGATGAGCCGTGTTGCAGCCTCGTTATGTGTTTTAGTAGGAAGAGCCAATCTTTTCCCAGGGATTGATTTGATTTGAAGGAGAGCCTCTGGTGCAGAGGTGGCAGAATAAATACCTGAAGACTAATGTTCTCTGTTCAGACAATCAATACCAGCCCCATGACTATACTTCTGGCTACCTTCTAGTTAAAAACAAATTTTTTAATTCTGACAATTTAATTGCCATTCCCAAGTTCACATTAACTTGCTTGGGAAAAGGGGGCTTTAGGTAATTTTTCAAAGAGGGGGAAAAATCTCTCCAAAATGGCTATTTATAAYAGTCAGTCTACTTGTGTGTTGTGGGGGAAGGCAAGAGAGATGAAGGTGTCTGGGCAGGCAGCGTCTGATGTGGAAAGAGTTAATTCTTTTCTGTGTTATTCTGTCCTCCCCCATCCGCCTGTTGTTTAGAAATTAAGCCAAAATATTTGGAAATGATCTAGGTGTGGAAGTTAAAATTCAGCTCCTGGAAACAAGTATCAGGCAGAAATGACTACTTGGGATTAAGATTGACTGCCATGTACAGCATTTTGTGGAAGACCCTTGAGTTACAAGAAAATACTATTAGCAAGAGCTTTTTTAACAAGTAGTTTGTTGTTGGTTTTTACTGACATGTTAAAAACCTGGCGGGGCGGGGGGAGAGGATTAAAATAGTCTGTAGTATTTCAGTCAAGACAACAGGCTAAGTTAGTTCAGAGCTCTGTAACCCAAACTGACTGCAAACTGAGCACAGACAATATTGGATCTGACTGGTCAGTTTTCATTGCCTCAATTCAAGGGATGAAAGAGAAGTTGTAAGAATAAAACAAAAAATAACTGATGTGAAAATGCTCATTTTTCCCCAATGCTGTCTCCTTGAAGAAATGGGAGGACCAGAAAGAAATTTGCTTTATTCCCTTAAAACAAAAAAAGTAAGATTTTTTTAAAGCAACTTTTTCCTGAATTGCATTTTTTCTTGATATATTTGCCAAAACTCAGAAGCCCTTTAAATTATTTTTCATATGGTGCCTTCTGAAACTGTTTTTCAAGTGGCTTTAAGGAGAAAAAAAAAAAAAAAGCCTCTGTTTGCTTAAGGTAAAGCTGTAAACAGTTAAAACAGTTTAAACAGTTTTTCATTTTGTGAAAGCCCCAAGTTTATCCAGCAGTATAAGCTAAACCGCTGGTTTTACACCCATGTGTTCCAAAGACTTAGCAGGAATAAATGGGGCTCTATGCAGATGCAGAGATCTGCTTGCAGAAGAGCCCCTCGAAGAAGGGGAAGCCAGGTCTCACGGAGCACGTTGGGAAGAACTGTATGGAATTACAGTAATGAAATTGCTGTGCTAGATAAATACTCTGCCGGCACGCTGTTGTGGACCTTGCAGTTCACAGGCCGTGCCTCCAGGTCTGCGTTTTTGAGGAGATGTATATGAATACATGTTAGATTTGCAGGGTTGGAGCCAGAAGCCTCAGTCATGCCAAGAACAGCCAGCCCTGGCAAACAGTAGTTTGGGTCCATGAATGGCAGAGTGGGATTTGGGGCCGAAATACGCAATCGGATGCACTGTACCTAGGCACAGAGGGGGAACTGAATGCGAGTCACCTGAGAGACCTTCTCCGTCAGATACATTTATCTCTGGTCAGTAAATACGGAGAGAGAAGCAGAAGACTGTCTGGCTATACAGGCATATGAAATAGATGAATCTATGTGGAATACATTCCCTTTCCAGCCAAACACGTACCCACATGTGAGCTTGCATGTGTTGGACGTAGCTGTAGTGTGTAATTCCACTCAACACCGAGAAAGAAAAGGGCTGTGGTTCAGAGTGCGCTAGTTTATTGCCTTCCAGAAGTTGGTATTTAATGATAAGCATTAATGCTTTGCACCTCCATGTGCTTGTGTGCACACAACTGTTTATGCATACCGGCATGCTAAGAGTGTGGATAGCTAGTGTCCTATGCCAAGAGATTACATAAATTTAAAATTTCCATAAAAAAGGACTAAAGTAACTCATAGTGTGAAATATTTTATTTAAAAAGAAGGGGGGGGGGCAGCAACATCTTACATGGGTTTTTTTTTTTTTTTTTTTTGAATCAATATAATATTAGAAAAGAAATAGAATCTGAATAAATAAAGAGGATGAGGTGGGAGAGGGAAGCTTCTATCCCATCACTTTTGGCTTGGAAGATGCCTTGTTGATTTTGTGTTTTTTTCTTAATGAGAAAAAAAAAGGAAAGAAAGGACATACTACCCCTCTCATCCCCCCCCCCCCCAAAAAAAAAGAAAAAAGTTTAAGCCAAATATGAAAGTATTAGACTTTGATCTTGTCTTTCATTGAAATATTAAATGAAAATAGGTCATGTCCAGTTTAAACTGGCACCTTCGATATGATGCAGGGGGCAGACAGGCTAAAAAGGAAACAGGATTGGCGGATAGGTCCCATGCAGATGGGGTTTATGAAACAACAAATACAGTTTGGCAATATTAATATGTGTGTGTGTGTGTGTGTGTGTGTGTGTGTGTGTGTGTGTGTGTGTATGTTTATTCTTGGAATGGTTTTGTTCTATTTAACTTTGCTTTTGGTCTCCCCCGAGCGCGGGGCGGCCCCCGCGCAGCGGTGCATGTGGTGCGTATTAGGACACTGCTGGTAATTTTACTGCTGCTAACTTAAAATCCTCAAGGGGGAGTTAATTACAGGAAAACCTTTCTAAATATCAGCTGCATATTTTCCATGACAAGAACTTTTTCAGCTCAGGTTGAACCATTCCAGAATGTGAGTTTTCCTTATTTACATGTACCAGTGCATTTTAGAGAAGGAGAAAAAAAAAAAAAAAAAAAAAAAAAGGTAAAATTCAAGTGAGTGCCATGCAGATAAAGTTTTTAAGATTTTTTTTTTGTTTTGTTTAGGCTTGTTTACAAGTGGCAGTTCCTGCTTAGGGAGAAATGATTGTGCATAAATTGCATTTTGTGTGGCTGGTTAAACTTTTCTTTGGTTATTTTTTTAGACAAAGGCCTAAAATGAAGCAGGGAACTTGGAAGGTCCTTTTTTATTTTTTTTTTTTTTTAATTTCCCCTTCCTTTCCTTCTTTTGATTTTAAATTTTCACATAAATGAAAAGTTGATTAAATTTATGTGCATATATTTACTTAAACAATTGAAACTTTATCTGTTGCCACTGGGGACTTGCTTTCCTCTGTAAATGTTTGCAGAGCAGCATTTTTCCTAGGCAAGCGGGAAGGGGGGGACCTGCAGCTTGGAGCTGGCAGCAATGGCAGCAAGTCGCAGCAGCGGCAGCCCCACGGTGCCTGGTCACAGAGTGTTTGGTTGAGGGGAGTTGCAAACACGGGATAAGTATATAAAATAAGCATCTTGTTAATAATGGAAAAACAAAACAAACAAAAACCCAGCAGCTCTGCTGTCTTTTACCTTTGAGCGGAGCGCYGGCTGGCTAGTGCACGCAGCGAGCGCCCGGCTGCTCCTTGCGGCCGCCTGGAGCTTGTAGCTTCAGCGCGAGGCGCGGAGCGCCGTCGCTGCCCGCCCTTCCACACGCCGGAGGTGGCAGCTGAGCRGCTTCCGTGCTGCCTGGCTGCTTCGGGGGCAGCCTCTCGCGTCCCGCTTCTCACCGAGCCTCCTTGGAGCCCCCCAGGGCTCGGGCTGCGCTGCGGCCYGGCCGCCCCTTCCCGGCTCGCTCCRGCCTGGACAAACYGCTCGGGGTCCRGGCAGGCCGGGCCGCACGCAGCGGGAGAGTCGTGCCTGGCATCTTCCCCCCACCTCAGGCCTAAAGGCTTCAAATGTAAATACTGCGGTGATAATTTTGAGCAGGCATAATAGAATTAAAACTGGTTGTGCTCTAACATCAGAGGATGAACACMGGTGCTTCCCCTAGCTAGTCCTTCCCCGAGTTCCTTGCTGAGCCTTGGTTTTAGAAGCCGTTCTAGTGTGGTGTTTGTAGCTGTTGTCTCTGAGACCTAACTGATAACGGTGTGCCACTTCTCCGTTCCAGCTCTGGATGAAGATGTGCTTGTTAAAGGAAAACAGTCAATCAAGAGCCAAGTTTTAGGAAATCAGAACTCAGAAAGCGAGATTCTCTTGGATGGTGACGACGATACCCTGTCATCCCTTGASGATAAAGATTTGGACAACTTCACAGGTAACTACGGCTGTCTAGTTTCCCCTCAGCTTTTTTAAGTTCTAATCTCTCCCTGTTCCATGGTAAATAATGTTTGAGGATGCACACTGACAAATTGTTCCTTCCCATGAATGAGTTACTGAAAGATGATTTTYGTGCACACCTCAATGCTGGGGATTTGCATGGAGAGATTTGTGAGCCGTCTTTCCCTGCCTTTTATAACCTCCTTGCTTCTGTGCTAAATTTCTCAGTGTTTTAAGAAACCTTCCTTGGTAATAGTAGCTTTCCCTTGAAAAGAGCTTCCTTTCTCTACTTTTGACCGAGTCAAAGCATTAGGGCTAGCRGGCAGTTATGTAAGTTTTATGTTATTAAAGGCTTTGGAAAGCTCTATTTTTTTTTTCCTTGAGTTTATAAAAAATGTATATATCACTTATGTGCAAGGGTTCAAAAGATCTGTATGCTCACTGGGTTTAACCTCCTGCCGTTCCCCCATTCAGGTCCCTTCCCCATAGGCCACAGCCATGTTTGACTTCACTCTTTTTTTTTCCTTACTTTTTCTTCAGGAAAAAAAAAAAAAAAAACTTCAGTTCCTTGAACATGATTAATTTTAGTGGATCACATGTGACGGTCTTTGCTGATACTGCAGTCCAAGTGGAATGAGCCCATTTCTGCGCAGTTCAAAACGTAAACAGTAACTCCTCAGTTCAGGGACTGGGGTTTCTATTGCAGCTTCATTGCTATGTGGAGAGCATGGGTTTTCAGGAAAAGGCAAACTTCTCTGTGCTTTTCAATGCTCATCTGGTTTCTGTGCCCCTGTGCTGTGGAGAAAGATTTCWTTTTTTGGATAATTCTTGTTCTCTAAGAACCTAGTAGTGTAATCAGCCAGTATGATAATTTAGTGAAGTGCTGCAAGTGTTATTTATCAGCAGTTCGCTTATCCGTCACCTAAACTGCTTTCAACTTTTCTTGCTTTTAAAAGCAAAGTTAAAATTACAGCCTCATTAAAAAAAAAGAAGAGGAAAARGCAGGAAGAGTGAAGTAAAGCAAAATAATTGGAGAATAACGCAATGGCATTTTTGTGTACATGAGTGTTTTTGCTTTCTGCCCTGAGCTTCCTTCTCAACAGATTTCTGTGTTTCCTTCTCTTTTATTAAATATTCATTGCTTCCTGTAATACATTCATACTGTAATAGAGGTGAAAGGGGAGTTTAATTATATAATCTTAACAATGGCAATAGGATTAAGAAGTAATCCTCGCTAATAAAGTGGTGTGGGTTAGAAATGAAGTGGAAATTGTCAGGGGGTCTTCTACAGGACCTGGGCTGCCCCAGCTTCTGCAGCTGTCTGCCTGCCCTGTAATTGAATGTCTGAGAGTGATTGAAAAAATGTTATTTCTCCTCTGGATTACATGCTAATGTACAGAGGGCAAAGGGAGACAGCAAAAGAACACATAGCTGCTTATTTCATCTATTTGTGGGGGGGGGAGCTTTGGGAAATCATGGCAGTTTTGCAGCTATCTCGTGCCCATCTGCAAACACAATGTATTTGTACGTGGGGAATAGAGGGCAAAGCTGCTCTGATCTCAGCAGAGCATCTCTTCTTTTGTCCTAGTGGCACACATTGAGATTGATGTGAGATTAAGGACCATCACCCTCCTAACAATCGATGGAAATGACAATTCATCTGAATTTTTTGTCAATTATTCTCACATTGATTACTTGAACGTGTGTACCTCATTTATAGATGCTTTATTAAAACAAAATTGTCTGTGTCACTTTCATACCTTCCACTGTTTTACAAAAGTCAGGTAATGCTGCAATCAAGTAACTTCATTTCCTTGCCTCTTAATCAGCTGGATGACAAACCCTGCCTTTCTCTCTTCTATACGCCTTAGTTCATATAATAGGTTCTGTATTGCCAGATCTGTGCTGATCCTATTGTTTTCAGTAGTAGTCTGATTTGTCCCTGTGATAAGCCCTGTGGAGATGTGATTATTCCAATAAAAATTCATTCAGTTGGACACCAACCCTCCAGCTGTTTACTCCCACAGTCCCTGAGCTCCACTAACACTATATGGAATCCTCGAACAATATTTAATGTRGAATCAAAAGCATCTTTAAAACGTTTTACCTTAGACTCTACTACAGTGTGTAACCTTAACAATAGATTTCTAGCATCCATAAGGGAACACTTTTACAGTTAGACAACTTTGAGCCTCGACTGCCGTGTTCATCTTTGCAGAAAGCTATTGAACCTCTCCAATTCCTAAAGAACGCATTTGACAGTAAGATTTCAAGTGTTCATGTGTGCACTCTCTGTATCGCTTAGAAAAGGAGGTATGCAACTACTGGAGTTTCTCAAAACCAAAATGCAGTTGAATAAAAACTATATCCTGCTACACTAAAGCCATCTCTGGCATGTATAACATACTCATCAGCCTGCAATTGTAGCTGCTTCGATGTTCAGCTGCGGAGAGACTCTGTAAATCTGTTACACATGTGGTTTTTTTTTCCTGGGGTAAAAGAGTTCTGTTTTTTAAAAGCTAAGCTCTTCGGCTCAGTTAGATATTTTTATACATTAAGCTTGCAAAGCTAGTAATTAGCACTTGTTGTGTTTTCTATTTTGAATATTGTTGGTGTTTTTGCCCTGTGGCAGGTCCGGTTAACCTGAGTGCGCCAGCGCAGCTTGTGGCACCCTCGGTTGTAGTGAAAGGCACTCTTTCCATCACTTCCTCTGAGGTCTACTTTGAGGTGGATGAAGAAGATCCCAGTTTTAAGAAAATCGACCCGAAGGTAAGAGATCATTGACCCTGAGCTCTGGGAGATGATGACAAATTACCTAACAGCCTTTAATTCTTCATTCTACTTCCCCTACCTCTATTGGGCTGCTGCATTCCCTCTTTAATAAGTTTGTGACCGAGCGTAGCCATTACTGGACTTAAGGCTTAAGTGACACCTTCTTCCCCTCTTCCTTTCGAGCCTGCTTGAATGTTAATTAGCTTGCTGCAAATAATGCTCCAGGGAGGTGTCTTAAATAAAGACATCTCGGATCACAGGCCTGTGTGAATGTTGGAAAGTTCAACAAGGCTGTTAGCCCCAATGCTGTTTTACTTCTCTATTTTTATATAATGCCGATATAAAATAGTGCTTAACTTCCTACGCTCTTAAGTTTGCAGTGCTCCTGTACCTTATTATTCTGTAAGAGATTTTATAGGAGCCGTTATTATTTATTGTGCCTAAGCAGAAAACATAATTGCTCTCTTAAAATGTGTTTCTGAACTAACCTGTTAATTTCCGCAAACTTTATTTGCTCTGAGTTACTTGATTACYTGGGTTTTGCTTAAAATGAGTACCCGTTCTGTAAAATTGCCCTTTCAAAGGCAGCCGATTGTGAAATGCGCTCCATGAAGTTGCGCTTGAGCGTTTTTACGGTATTACAGCAGCGTTTCGAAGGTATGGCACATTGCCGGTCAATACCCTTGTATTCAATTTGAGGCACGACGAAGGCTCATGATTTTAAATTAACTGCTTACTGTTAAGTAGAATAGTAACTTCTTTTTGAAGGAAAAAATATTGGAGTAGTGGTGCTATAAAGAATGAGGTCTTTGCTCTTCTGTAGGGGGTATCGTGTTTGTTAAGCGTCACTTCAGGTCTTTGTTCCTCTTGAATAAATGGGTCTTGTCTGTATTAAAAATGGCATTGGTGACTCTGAAAGCSGGGTTCACCAAATACTGTCAGGGAATCAATTCGTTTTGAAAAAAAAAATATATTAAATTCTTAGAGCTGGAATTTAATATGAGCAATTAACTAGAACTGTGATTTTATGTGGTATCGTAAATGAAATTTAACTTTTCTGGTGGTCCTGAAAATTATTTAGAAATAGTTTCAAGTGTGAAAAGGCTTTTAAATTCTTGATATGCTTACTCTTCTGGTAGTGCTATTTTAAAAATTGTTGGTGAAAAAGGATACAAGTATTAAATGCAAAGACGTTTTGCTGTTTGACTGCAGCATAAGACTGAAATACTCACAGGTTTTGTGTTAGTTCGAAAAACCTCTTGGAGCTCTGCTTTTTGTGGTTGGTTTTGTTGCGTGTTGGGCACCCTGAACTACAACYAGGAACCCCTGGCGCCCTGCGACCCGTTTCGTGGGGCACTGCCAGGCGTCTGCTTRGCGCTTTGCTCCTTTCCCGTGCGCTGGCCGTGGCTGTTTCACAGCGGTGAGCCGGCACTCCGCTCTGCGGCGTTAGTTCTCACCTGCGAGCTCTGCTTTAGCTTCCTATAAAAGGCGCGGCAGACGCGTGAATGCAGARGGCATCTCTGCATTCTGGCTGCGGCGCTGTTTCAGTCAGGTGTAACTTACTTAGCAAAGCTCCTCAGCGCTTGTGCGGCACGAAGGGGGTCAGCCAGCCCCGCGCCCCTCTGCTCGGGCCGCGTCCCGGGGCTGCCGCCGGGGAAGCGCCGCGCCGGGGCCGCCGAAAGGCCGCGGGACCCGGGCTGGGCTCCGCTTTCCCAGGGGCTCCGCGGGTGCCCGGGCAGGGCGCGGGGGGCTCCGCGGCGCGGGTGCCCGCGGGCGGCAGAACCGCCGCCTTTCCGCGGGCGTCTCGCGCCCCCGGCGCCCGTTTGGCGCCAGCCCCGATCGCCCGCTGGAGGCATCGCCCCTTGCCCCCACTTTAGTTGCCCGGCTCCCTTCGGGGGCTTTAATTTCGTTTTAGCTCGAAGCCAAAGCAGCCCGAGCGCGAGTGGCTCTTGCTCTGCAGCCCCGTCCGCGAAGCTGCCTTGCCCAAAGGCACGAAAACTCCCCTGAAACGCCCCAGAGCCCTTTGGCAGTATCGCGGGGCGCTGGAGCACGTAGCGATAACGCTTCGAAAACGCACTGTTGTGCTTCGGAGAAGAAAAAAAAAAACTCTAATATATTTTAAGGTGCTCTTAGAAAAGGCGCAAGGGAAGAGGGCTCTAACGCAGCCGGGACGGGCTGTAGGGTTTTCGTTTGCAGCGAGCCGAGGTGGCCGCTGCCCGCGGGGCTGCTGCGCCGTGCGCGGGGMGGGGGGTTGCGGCTTGACTTCAAATCCGGAGGAAAAGAATAGGCGTTTTTTACATATACATATAYTCATATATATCGACCCGTTGCTTTAAAGCATATTAATTATTAAGGGTGGATCTATACTTGGTCCGTGTCAAAGTCAAAGGGAGGGCTCGTTCGCGCTGGTGAGCGAAGGCAGAGTGAAGTGTTTTTTAAAACAAAATATGGGGCGATTGGGATTTACCGGAAAACTACCCGGAAAACAACCAAAACAAAAAGAGAACCAGAAAAAAAGAGAAAATAAAAAAGAGGAAAAAAAAAAAAGAAAGAAAAAAGCGTTAGAAAGAAATAGAGGGTGGGAGGGTGCCCMTGTTCTCGCGGTTTGCAGGGGGAATTTAAAGCCGTCCAAATAGCACGGATAGGGCTCTCGCATGCTCAACTGTAAAATACATATGACTTATTTTTTCTGAGCTGCAAAATTTTAATAGAAATTAGAGGGAGCTTGAGAAAATGTCGGTGAATATGACGAGCTAAGCCATGGGCTCCGCATCGCCTCTATTTTTTCGCGCTCTTTTTTTTTTGGCGTTTTTATTATTCTTTGAAGTTAAAGAATCTACTAGCCTGAATTTAAAAACCACCTATAAAAAAAGAAAAAAAAAGTCCGTGTAAAGTTAAAGTAATATTTTTATTACTATTTGCAACAAGTCAGTTGTGGGACACATCATCTGACCTTGGCACTGAAATACATTTAACATCGGTAAAACTTTTTTTTTAAGGGATTTTTTTACATATAGTTAAATAATTATTTTTCACTTGGTGACAACATTCAGGCAAACAAGAAAGATTAAGAAAAGGCCTATACATTTATTTGGAAAAGAAAAAAAAAAAAGAGAGAGTACCTTTCGGGTTTCGTTTTGGTGTTGCAAAAGTCCGATCGCTTCTTTCTGTGACTTTTTAAAAATTCACATCGGAGGAGGAGGAGGAGGGAGGCGGGGGCGGCTCTTGCGGGCCCCCCCGGCCCCGCGCTGCGAGTTTCTGCCGGGAAAAGGGCCGGCCGAGCCGCAGGTGGCTGCGACGCAGTGGCACCGGCTCCGGCTCTCGCCGTCGTCGCTGCCGTTAAATAACAAGTCCGCGGCGGCCGTGGCCGCTGGCGGGGGGCGAGTGCGGCGCTGCCCCCCTCCCCTATAGCTTGTCGAGGCTTTTGGGATTGGTGAGGATTTCCCTGGCCAGCCTCCAGGTCTGTTTGGCAGCGCTCTCGAGGGCCGAGTGCGGCTTGCCCTGAAAGAGGTCGAGGTTGGGCAGGAAGTAGTGGGGGCAGCGGCGGCACTGCAGGCACGAGATGAGCTGCAGCAGGATGCCGTTGAGGCGGTCGCCCAGGCACGCCTCGTCCCAGTCGGTCTCGCGCGGGTGCTTCTCGCACTCGTACAGCAGCAGCGTCTTCATGTGGTAGTTGTTGAGCGGCTGGCCCGGCAGCTCCAGGTGCCGGTCGCGCAGGGTCTTGAGCACCGAGAGGCACTTGTTCCGGCAGCCGCCCATGAGCAGCCGGTTCTCGGCCTCGCCGAACTGCAGCACCCACGCGTCGCTCTCGGCCGAGCTCTGCTTGCCCGTGAGCGAGTAGCACTCCTTGGAGAGCAGGTTGAAGCCCTCGGCCTTCACCTCGGCCACGCGGTTGGGGCCGGGCCACGGGATGTGCGGCATGGGCCACTGCGCCGCGCTGCGCGGCCAGATGCCCGTGCACTTGAAGGCGGGCGTGATCTGCACCACGTAGCGCTCGCGGATGCGCAGCTTCACCTCGCTCGTGTCCGCGATCATCTTCACCACGTCGCGGTAGCTGCACTTGTCCACGGCCTGCGCCACGAGAGTCTGGAAGCGGGARCGGATCTTGCGCGCCGACAGGTAGCCCGAGGCCGTGATGAACTCCACCCAGAGCGACATGCTACGCTTGCGGCCGTCGCTCAGCTTGAGCACGGCGCAGCCCGGCAGGGAGCCGTCGTCCACGAAGTTGAAAACGCCCATCTGGTTGAGGTAGAGCACCACCTCGAACTCGGTGGGCGAGATCACCTCCAGCCCCTCGTAGCGCGCGTCGATCTCGCTCAGGGAGCTGATGAAGCGCGGCTCCTGCACCTCCACCTCCTTGAGCACGTCCGACACGACCTTGCACACCTCGCGGATGGTCTTGGCGATGGCCGCCTTGCGCGCCTGGCAGCGCTCCGTGTAGTACTTGTTGAGCTGGTAGACCAGCTTGGCCTGCGCGGCGATCATGTTGGGGCACAGGTCCGGGCTGTACACCGGGCTCTCGCAGTACGTTGAGGGATCCAATGCTTTAGCGGTGGCCGCAGCTTCGCGGAGGGCGCCGGCCGAGGGGCAGAGGCCGAGCCCCGGCGCGGCGGAGCGCG